TTCATACCTTGGAACTATGTGAGGAAATTTGACCATAACACATACCACATATTAAATTCAATTTTACCTAATAATTATGCTTTGTGCTAGTTCATAAATTGTGCTATTCTTTTCCTGCCTATGCTACTAAACTATTGTTCATGTCGTTTGTTGTCCGCCCTCTTGCTCTAAAGACTGATGTACAGTATCAGGTTCTGCTGTTGCAGCTGGTTTTTTTCGATTTGATTTCGTGCTTTCAGTCTTTGCTTGGCCAGTGTTACTGTGGTTCATGGCCATAGTAAGTGCTGCAGTACTACCATGACTCCAATTCGAAATTTACAGAGAAATTCAGAAAAGAGGTTCTGCCCTGGTCCGATCTGTGCATGGCTACGCTCCCAGCTTTGGTAATCATCTATTTTCTTAGGTACCCCATATTATTGAGAACACATGGTCTCGGTTCTTTTACCATGTGTAGATCGATGAGTTATTTCTTTGGATGACGTCGAATTTCCTTTTCCTCAATGTCAAGGCTAAATTGCCTTTGATTATTGACTTCAGAACATGTGTGTTTTTTCCATTTTTATTTCTTTATAATCTGCATCAAATAACCTGCTTTGAGTAGTTTGTGTGCGATGTGATAGGAACAAAAAGGCCATTCTACTGTCTCAGCAACAGCATGTACGCTTGATTGGAGGACTGCAACAGCAAAAGGCCATCACCTGTACGCTTGTGTGTCTCAGCAGCAGCCAATGGGCAAGCAGGCAAGCGGCGTCGCATGGCAGCAGGTCAGCTGTCCTACTGTTCTCCCCTCTAATTCTGATTTATATTAGCGCAGTCTGTTCAAAGCGGTTGTGTTGTGTTTTTTCCATCATGCCAACTCTTCAGTCAGCAATTGCCTGCTGAGTGCCTAATTTTCCATTATAGATACAATTGTAGTACTTTGCTTTCCTTTTTTGTATTTATGTTGCCGACATGCAAGTTATTTGCTATGGCTCAATACTAATAATTCAAAATGAATATGTTCAGTGCTATATGTACAAACCTTTGCTCCATTTCCTGCCACCTATGCCTCAAGTCAAAATTTGTATGTTTTTGCCCGTCTCAAACCATACCTACTCTACTCGACCTAAAAAATCTATAACTTACACTCCTATATGCAGGGTGCAGAGCGCGGGCACCGGGATCAAGTCGCGCGGAGGCAGATAACAGGGCAAGACCGGAAAGGTCGGCAGGAGCCTCTGCCAGTTGATGAGCCTCCCATGGGCGCCGCCCAAGGCCCATGCAGCAAGGCTGTTGGTAAAAGAGAAGCCCCAAGTTGGCCCCGGAAGTATAGCTTGAGTGCAGGAATATCCTAAGTATGTGGCAGAGGGTATTTTTGTAAAAGAGTTTTTTTTTGTACAGTGACCTATAAAAAGGGGATGGTGAACCCCATGTAAGAGTTAGTTGAACCTTATTTATGAAACCCTAGATTTGGTGGGCCTCACTCTGTGTGTTCACCTCTGTTCTCCGCGGGGCTTAGCCTTCGGCCTGTGCCGGAGGCCTCCGCCCCATATTTCGTTCTGTTAGGGACAGTTCCCCAACAGCCTTACTCGTCCACGGGCCACGGCGGCGTCATCGTGGACTCCGGCACTGCTGTGACCCGCCTCGCTGGCCCTACGTACACCGCATTTCGCGACGCCTTTCGAGCGGCGACAGTGACGAACCTCGGCTGGCCCTCCCCGGGCGGCCCCTTTGGCTTCTTCGACACCTGCTATAGCGTGCACGGACTTGTGAAGGTGCCTGCTGTGTCGATGCACTTCGCCGGCAGCGTCGAGGTGAAGCTCCCTCCCCAGAACTACCTCATCCCCGTGTACTCCAAGGGCACCATGTGCTTCGCGTTTGCCGGCAGCGGTGACCGTGGTGTCTCCATCTTCGGCAACATCCAGCTGCAGGGGTTCCATGTCGTGCACGACGTCGACGGCCAGCGTGTTGGGTTCGCGCCAAATAGCTGTTGAGAGAGGAAGAGCAGGGGTCGATTGATCGCATAATTGAGTACTCATATATGTACACCTCTGTCGGTTCGTCTCAAAAGGAATATCATTTTCGTTTTTCAATGAGTCACATTCATTCTTGATTTACATAAGTTAATTCATCTCAAGTTTGACTAATTAAACATATGAAAAATAATAATATTTATAATGTGTAATAATAGTAAGTAGGTGCACTAGATAGTCCATCAACCCGTGCTCATGCATAAGTTAGAATCTTATATAAGATATAATTGTGATAGACTTGTCAATTACTTATACATATCTTTTTATCTCCATCCGTTTTTTTCCCTTTGCATGGCAACGCTTTTTCTTGAGGGGATTTGCATGGCAACCCTGTGCATATTCAATATGCATTTCGTTAACATCGTAGCTTAAACTATGGTAGCTGTGGTTGCAGCTCATATGTTACGATGTCACTAATCTAAATTTTGATATCATATTTTTAATCTTGTAAACTATAGATTTTGAGAATGCACACGATGAGTTGTTTTATATATAAGCGTTCAGATTAGGTGTTTACATGACGCTATCGGGCTCTTTCATAAAAAAAACAACACCAGCTTGTATTATTCTATTAACAATATAATATTATTTTGTTCCCAGTCAAACTTCTCAACTTTTGACTATGTTTATACAAAAACATATTAACATGTACAATATCTTTAAATGCACAACCCAAATTTTTTTTCCCATATCTAATGAACCTATTGAATGTTGTAGATGTTTGTATCTTTATCTATAATTAAATCTAGTTAATAAAGCTAACCAAGTTTGACTTTGAATAAAACTTAGGACTCATTTGGTTCGGCTCCACATGGCTCTGGCTCTGCCTACTTGTATCCTGTGCATCACTGTGCGGTCTGCTACAGTATGTAAATAAAATAAAATACTAGTTAATATTATTATCCACGTTAAAATTAGTTAACTTTAGATTTATATATCGTTAATAATCTTTTGTTCTAGCTACAGCCGCCTAGTGTATATGTAGTCTATCTCTAATCTTTTGTTGTAGCTACAGCCGCCTGCTGTATCTGCTTGCTGCATGCTATCCATGGCGTCACTCTCGCTGGAGACGCGGCCTCATTAATCTCCTTGCAGCCATATAACCACCACCCCCCTGCAGCCATGGAATCACTCACTCCATATCACTTCTACATACTGATCCAGCAAGTGACTGCTGCTCGCTTGCTAACAACCATGGTCGTGAACGCCACCGCAGCTGAGTTCCTCGCGTGTCGCCTCCAGCGAGACAAGCGGAGGGCAGCATGGATCATCTCGAAGGCGGCGGCCGTGGCGGGGGGCAACGCCACGCGGGTTGTACACGGGCCGACAGTACCTGTCGGCCAACCAGAAGCCGATAGTATCCCTTTCCACAGCACTGTCTACCGATGAACTACAGGCTCGCAAATTCTGTCATGACTCCCTCGCCCAGGCAGTCAAGGCGAAAGCTGCCTACTGGAAGCAACGAAGCAAATTCTGCGCTATGAAGGAGGGCGACGCCAACACCGCCTTCCATCACGCGCAGGTGACTGTACGCATGCGCAGCAACAACATCCGGTTCGTGGAGGTTCAGGGGACAACCGGACAACCATCGCCAACCATGATGGGAAGCTGCAAGCTTTAACGGACTACTTCAGCGCAATCATAGGACAGCCAGGGTCCTCTGTGTGGATCTTCGACGTCGGCTCCCTGTTCCACAATCAGCATCAGCTTTCTAGTGAACTCACGGCTCCCTTCACCGAGCAGGAAACACTGGAAGCCCTGAAAACGATGGATCGACACAGCTCTCCAGGCCCGGATGGTTTTGGACCTTCTTTTTACAGGGCAGCTTGGGGGTCATCGAGCAGGACGTCATCAGGTTCTTGTCGGTATTCCACAGGCCGACATAACCATTCGGCACACCAGAAGCCGATAGGATCCCCGTCGTCGCCGACAGCACGGCGCTGCTATGTCGTCGTATGTGATCCTGTCGGCCCGTGAGCTGCCGACATCTCCCCAGTCGGGAGCTCACCTACCAACAGGGTACCATATCTCAAATTTTTATATAGCAGCTTCTATATTTATAATTATTCATTGAAAAATATTATTAAAAAATTATTTCTCTCTCAGTGAATATCCAAATATAGCTATCATCTATTCTGAAATTCTCTCTCTAGCTAAAGATGGACAACGAGTTTAACTCCATCAAGTGTGGAAAACGATTTTCTTTTTCAAATGATTTTCTTACGATGGTTTAGAGAATAAGTTTTAGAAAGACTTTTTGAGATGCTCTTAATTTGCTGACCAAAGCAACCTTCTCGCTAGCTCCTTTTCCCTTCTCATATATAACCACCAACCCCTGCGGCATTGGCAAAACTCAAGGTCACTTCTGATCGAAGCAAGCGACTCATAACTGACCTTTTATCATTTATACAATATAGGGTTATTTTGTTGCCGATCAAACTTCTCAACTTTTGACTAAGTTTATATAAAAACATATTAACATGTACAATATCATTAAATGCACTGCCCAAATATTTTTTCCTTGGTTTATCTAATTAATATACTTAATTTTGTAAATGATTATTTGTATTGTTATCTATAAATGATGTTAGTAAAGATAAGCAAGTTTAACTTTGAACAAAACTAAGTGCATGTTTGGCATGGCTCCTACTCCAACAGCTCCTCCACAGGAACCATTGTTGGAGCCAGAGCAGAAGGATCAAAAGTAGCTTCTACTCTACATGTAAAAATAGTTCTGACTCCTCATATCTATAAAAAAATAGCTCCTCTACGGGTGCTTCTTCTACCTCTCGCCAAGAGCGTTGGCGTGTGTGTGTTTGAGTGGTTCCTTGGCGAAGCCAACATACATCGCCAAGATCGCGGTGGGCACGCCGGGTGTCGAGGCGCTGCTGGCGCTGGACACGGGCAACCACGTGCCAGCCATGCCGACGGTGATACCCATAGTCCGGTCCCGTGTTCGACCCGCAACACTCGACATCATACTGCGAAATGGGGTACGACGTGCCAGATTGCCAAGCGCTGGGACGATCCGGCGGCGGCGACGCGAAGCGCATGACGTGCGTCTACGCCGTGGGCTGTGGGGACGGCTCTACGACGGTGGGAGACTTCATCAAGGAGATGATGACCTTCGCGGGCGGCGTCCAGGTTCCACACCTGTCGATCGGCTGTGGCGATGATAATAAGGGCCTGTTCGGGGCGCCGGGCGCGGGGATCCTAGGCCTCGATCGTGGCCAAATATCGTGCCCGAGCCAGATTGCTGCTCTCGGCTACAACACCACGAGCTTCTCCTATTGTCTCCTTGACGTCTTGTCAAGCCCCGGCTCCCACTCCTCCACCCTCACCTTCGGTGGCGACACCGTGGAGACCTCCCCGCCAGCGTCCTTCACCCCCCACGGTATGGAACCCGAACATGGACACATTCTACTATGTGTGGCTTATCGGCGCCAGCGTGGGTGGCACGCGCGTGCCGGGTGTGACTGAGCGTGACCTCCAACTAGACCCATACATGGGTCACCGTGGCGTCATCCTGACTCTGGCACCACCATGACGTGGCTTGCCCTCCCAGTGTACATCGCAATCCATGACACCTTCCGCACCGCGGCAGCCGATCTTGGCCAGGTCTCCATTGGTGGCCCCTTCGGCTTCTTCGATATGTGCTACATCGTGGGCAGAGGGGGTGTGATGGTGCCCACTGTGGGGGGGGGGAGGGGGTGGCGGGTGCGTGGTCAGGAGAGAGGGGAGGGGCTAGGGAAGAGGAAGTGGTATTAGATTACTTGCTTCCTTAAGATTGAATGGTTACAAGCCCCTTCTCTTTATAGTCCTTGAAGACTTGGTTCTTAAGCAACCCTATTTTCTAAAGAACCTTTATAGATTTGAGTCTCTTCCGTAACAAACCTTAATCTAATCTTACTTAGCACACCCTTACTACTTTTCCTATTCTATTCTTACTCCCCTTGATTGGCGGATCCCTGCTCAGGCGGTGGTGGTCCTCCATGGCCGTGCCCCCTCCTAGTCGTGCCGCGCCCTCCCCAGACTGTGCGTAGGAGGCACTACAGGCCCACACATGGCTCTGCGCTGTGCCTCACTTGGTCAGCTTGGTCCATAGCCAGGGGCCCACATTGAGTGTATGACAAAATCTATGTTGAATATAGGGACGGTGATAGGGCTAAGATGAAAACGTGCATAGAGGTGCTCAAGTTGAGTTCGGATAGGGATTGATTCATGAAGGCTTTCTTGCTTCTAGCTTTGGGTCTGTTTATTTACGAGCACAATAAATGCAGTGACCTTGAAGTATCTTCATAGCCTACGTGATGTATAAAAGATCAATGAATTCGATTGGGTTGGCCATATCCTAGAGGTGGTGATGGAAGAGGTGAAGAAATACAAGAGATTATCTCCAGAGCATGACCATTACGTTGGATCTTGCCTTGCAATTTTAGCTGCATTTCGATTTTCTTCGTTACATTGCTTATAATCCATGTACTGTACTATCTTCAAGTCATCATATTGTTTTGTACTATCTTCAACTTTCCTTTGTTACATGGCTCAGCGCCGAGGTGACAAGTGGCAGAGCTAGGGGGGCCATACCCCCCCTGACTTAACATGTCACAACATAGTAGTATATAATTTTAAAAAATTTAGGCTTGTTAAAAGAGATAGTATAAACAAAATAATATAATTGTTATATATACCTATTAATATCTCAAGGAAGGTGCGCAGCGAGGGGACGTCCGTCCCCACCGCGCTGGAGAGGATGACGCTACATGGCGCCTCACGGCTGACGAGGTGCTCTAGCTCTAGCTAAAAGGAGACCGCCGCGTTCTAGATCCCGAAAGACAGGTCCAGGAGGTAGTACTAGAAGCGGTCCAGCGGTGGGAGCACCTCGCCGGTGATGATCTGATGATGGACGTTGGCTAGCATGTAGAACATCTGGCGGCGCTCTGACACGGTGGGGTTAGGACCCAGACTGCGCTGTATCTGATAGGCCAGAACCTCGAGATCTGCTCCCAAGAGTCCAGGCGGAGTGGGTGATGTAGGCTAGGCTCCCAAAGTTGAGGACCTAGACTAGAGTAAAAGCGCTGGCTATGACAAAGAACTTGACAGGGAAGCGGACGTCATAGTCTGGGGCGGCGCCGCTCGCTCCGACGATGAGGTGGGTGGCTCTGGCCATCGTAGAGCCCGAATCGCACTTGATGCAGCCCCCTACCTGGCACGCCATTTGTCGTTGGGTCAAAACCACGGCAAGCATTATTGTTCAAGTTGGTGTCAGAGTATGTATCTTCGGTGGCACGGGTGGACTCAAGAACACAAGAATCACAGAGAGGATGCAACAGTTTATCCTAGTTCGGGGCGATGATGCCCTATGTCCAGCAGTTGATGATCCTAATACTCAGAAGCACCCAAAATCAGGGGTTACAATCGAGTGTAGGAAGAGATTTGGTAGGGGATTAGCTCGGCGCTAATCCTGAGGTTGCCTCACCACCGGTGGAGTCCTCCCCTCGTCGGAGAGGAGGAAGACGATGGGAGTGGAGGAGCTTTCGGTGCCCCTCTCTGGGTTGCTCTTCCCTCGGTGCCGGGCGAGAGCGGATCGGTGGAGAGCGGTGCGATCGTCTAGGATCACCCCTCTGGTTGAATGATCGACTGATGCTCGAATGATCGTCCTTCGATCGTCCTCCCCCTCTAGGATCCGCCTCCCCTTATATTCTGAGATAGGTCGGGTACATGATAGTTTGGGGGATTAGTCTATGGTCTACATGCACCGGACTCTAGGAGAGTCTTGCAGCGGCGTCTTGTGGACCGTGGAGATGGCATGGAGCCGAGAAGCTCTGGGCGTCGTCTGGCTGCTCTGCTCTGACACCCTACGTGTCAGGTTCTATCGGCTTGGACCGGCCTTCCCCGGGCGCACCTTTTGGAGTCTTCTCGGTGGCGTGGGAGGCCAGCTCGAGGGGCTGACACGTGGGCCCAGGAGCCCCCGAGCCCCTGGAGGCCACGGAGGAGGAGTTTGTCTTCTTGTGTCACGCCCCCTGTGTGACCCTGTCGGGGGAGCGGCCGACAGGGCCACACCCAAGGGGCAGCGCCTGGGAGCCCTCGAGCCTTGGTGGCATGGGGCGTCGTCTTCTTGCGCCGAGCCTTGGCTGGTGCTAAAGGCCGAGAAGGAGCCAAGGGTCAGGTCCAGGCTCTCGTCGGTCGGGATGGGGCTTGGGCGAACCCCCGAGCGTTGAGCAGAGGCGGCGGGCGTGCTTGGGCTTGGCCCTTTTCCTTAGGCGGAGGGTGCACGCGAGCGCACCCGATGGGTGTAGCCCCCGGGAACCTTTGATCCCGAGGCTTAACATACCCATATGTTAGATCTCGTCAGGTAGCAATATATAGAAAACGATTTCTATTAAAATGTCTCTAAAAAATACATGCTATCTGAACAACAATAAAAATCAGGCAAGGCAATTAAAGAGGAGTGAAAAAAAGACAGTAAAATCTTTGGTACAGTGCCACGGTGGTAGAAGGAAATACGGAAAAATAAAAGAAAATTGTCTTACGGGCCTGGGCCGTGGCACTTTCAGTGTTTACGGGCTTTAGTTTTGGGCTTTTAGTCCACATATGTTTCCATAAACCAAACCAGTACGGCAGCCAGCATGACTGCGCGAGGAGCGTCCAACTTCATACGTGAGCTGCAGCCAGTGACGGAGGAGGATTTTATCACAGGTTATGTCGTAAAAAAAATTTATGCAATTCGATAAACCATTTATAATTTGATAAAACTATATTCTAATTCGGTAAAACCAACTACATTAAATAATATGATGAGCCTTAAATTAAAAGATTAAGCTACAAACGACGATAAATCTCGATATAAATTGTTCAAAATGAAACCCAAATAATTCATAATATAGAATCGATCTGTTTGGAACTTTCGGTTAGAAAGCTCACAAGTCATAGGATATGATGGACTAATGACCGGATGCTAATTATTGATCTGATGCAGTGATGTGGATGAATGAACTCACGAACTGGAAAAAAATGACTCATACATAAATAATTAAAACTATTTAAGTACACAAGTAAGAAGAAGAATAGAAGATTAATCTTAAACCTATCTGTCGCTGTGCGTCTCAGTATCTCACCGAGCGGTAGCCGGCCGAGACGATAACGTTGCAGGCCCTCCGACGTCGGGCTTCGCCGCGGGCGCGCCTCCGAGTCTGGCGAGTCGGCGACCGTCGTGGCCGCGTGGGCGGTGGGCGCGTGGCGTCGTTCCGTGATGGCGTCGGCGTGACCGCGTGGATTCGACTCTGCCGCTTGCGCGTTGCGACGATCCAGCGGGATGGTTGCAGGCGGTGCGCGTGAGTCAATGCGTGGGACCGGTGAGGTTTCGAGCCAGGTGGAGCGGAGTAACTGCGCCGAGCGCCGTATGCGCGAGTTCACGTGCCCGCACAGAAGCCGAACGGCTGGGAGGCGTCGGGTACTTGGGCGTGTCCACCAGGTAGTAAGCTTTTTTCTTTTTTTCTTACATAAAAATTTATATTCTGGTTCACTTACACATGAACCCTAGGGTATGCGGTAGCCCACCCAGCGTACCCTGTGGGTCCGTCCATGGCTGCAGCTCCGATCCGACTTGACCACGCACGATGTTCTGCACATCGAGTTGGCCGTCGACCACGCCGGCACTGGACCTGAAGCCGCCAAGCGCCTCAGGCGGCGGGCCGTCGCCGCTGCTGACGCGAGGCCAGGCGGCGGCATCATCGGAGCGCGAGAAGAAGCCCATTCAGCAAATCCAGCAGCCGAGGGATTGCGCGGACGTGTTGTGGTGGGAGGTTGACACGGTGGCAGATGCGACCGTGGCGACCAAGATGGCCACGAGGCACGGCGCGCGCGGGAGGCGGTGGCGGAGCTCCACGGTCTCATGGTCACGAGGACGAACGGGATGCAGGCCGATAAGAAGCTGCGGGAGGGGCGAGGAGTTCAGAACACAGAAGACCAAATAGAGTTTCTTTGCTTCCACGCCGTACCTTTCGATCTCCGAGGTCGAACCAAAGTCACGTATTTTGATAAAACTACGTGTGTCGTGCTCATGCACACATGTTGCCAAAAGGAAATAATTAACAAATCTGAGTTGCATGTATCTCGTTGACAAGCGAGAGGTTGTGACGTGACGTGAGCGAGTTCGGTTCGTATACGACACATGGGGCCTTAGTTTTCAAAATAAACACAAAAGAAATCCGATCAATACGTCTTGTATTTGGATTAGAATTTCTAGTTATATTCTGATTATTTCAAGATGTCATACATATGTCGTTTATAAATATAACATGGGAGATATAGATAAATGTGAAGAGAGATAATTTGCACATTCATGAAGTTGGCCTGTTCGGTTGGCTGGTTCGTGAAGAAGTACTGGTGGCTGGTTTGTGTGAGAGAAAAATACTGTTCCGGCTGAAAATTTACGATCATTTACGACAAGCCACAGCCAAACAAACAGGCTGTGGTTA